AGACTCGTCCTACATTGCTTGCGGATGGATCCTCTTGCAGCTCGACGACAGTGGCCGACGTTGTCCCTCCCGGTTCGGATCCATCACCTGGAACGAGCGCGAGGCACGCTATTCACAAGCGAAGATCGAACTATATGGCCTGTTCCGTGCACTCAAAGCCGCCAAAGTCTGGCTCATAGGCGTCAAAAAGCTTACCGTTGAAGTGGACGCTAAATACATCAAAGGCATGCTTAACAATCCTGATATTCAGCCCAACGCCGCCATGAATCACTGGATCGCCGGCATCCTCATGTTTGACTTCACTCTCAAGCACATACCTGGCTCGAAGCATCAAGGACCAGACAGATTATCTCGCAGAAGACACACACCAGAAGACGACAAAGAAGATAACGAAGGCACCGAAGACGTTGAAGAATGGATTGATGAGCTATTGGGTTGCGGCCTATGGATCGCAAAAGATTTGGATGACGGGTATCTAGAAGTGATGAGCCGTGCAACAGTACTGCAATTCGCAGAAACCTCGCATACATCTGATCTTGATATCCCTTCTGATGATGCTTCCCGCGCTCGCGACAACGACCTACGCGCTATACAGAGATACCTTGAAACCCTCACGCTTCCTTCCAACATCTCCAACACCCAGTCTCTTCGGATCCGCAAGCAGGCAGCCCGATATTTCGTCCACGGCAATCGTCTCTGGCACAAGGATCCAGCAGGACGCCATCAGATTGTTCTTTTCGGCCCCGACCGCACTCGCATCTTGCACGAGACTCACGACCGTCTTGGCCACAAGGGTTTTTACCCTACTCGTCGCGCAACTGCGGACCACTTTTGGTGGCCGACATTAGATAAAGATCTTGCATGGTACCTCAAGACCTGTCATCAATGTCAACTGCGTTCGGTAGAAAAAGTCATCATCCCTCCCACTGTCGCCACACCAGCATCCTTATTCCATAAAGCCTACACGGACTCCATGCATATGCCGACCTCACACGGATACTCCTACATCGTCCAAGCTTGATGCTCCCTCAGTGCGTGGCCAGAATTCCGAATGCTCAGGTCTGAAACTGGTCGGACACTTGGGGCCTTCCTATTTGAAGAAGTTCTCTGCAGATGGGGCGCGGTTGAAGAGATCGTCACTGATAACGGAACCCCGTTTATCGCAGCACTAGACTGGCTCGCGAAAACGTACCATATTAACCATATCCGTATCTCGGCTTACAACTCACGCGCAAATGGGATTGTCGAATGCTCGCATCGTACCATCCGTGATTCGCTTGTCAAGGCTTGCGAAAGCGACATCACTCAATGGCCAACAGTTGCACCTCACATCTTCTGGGCCGACCGTGTTACGACTCGCAAAGCCACCGGTCACTCTCCCTACTTCATGGCTCATGGGGTCGAGCCTCTGCTCCCCTTTGATATTACTGAGGCCACCTTCATGCTCCCCGATATCGCATCCCCTCAGTCCACCGAGGACTTGATCGCGGCTCGTGCTCGTCAGCTTATGAAACGCGAAGACGATTTAGCCGTCATCCACAAATGCATTCTCAAGGCCCGGTTCACATCTGTCGCAGACTTCGAACGACAATTTGCCCATGCCATATGTGACTATGATTTCCAACCCGGTGCGCTAGTGCTGGTTCTCAACAAGAAGATTGAAGCTGCGTCGAACGCCAAGTGTAAACTGCGGTATTTCGGACCTATGGTAGTCGTCTCCCGTGCTGCTGGTGGCTCCTACCTACTTGCCGAACTTGACGGTGCGGTCTCACGTCTCAGATTCGCCGCATTCCGGATCATTCCCTATCACCCTCGATCCTTGACAACACTCGAAGTCACACAGTTCCTTAATCCAGATAACCTTGTCGGCACTGCCCCAGAGCACGAATAGTTGTTTGAGGATCAACTGGGACAGTTGATATTTCTAGTTGGGGGGAGGTGTAAGAAAGGCTGCGCCTTTAACGATGAAAGCTTGCTTCAATCAACCCTTCAACGACTGTGACATATCACGCACTGCCTTCTCTTCTATTTCCTTTTCTGTCCATATTTACATCAATTCACGTTTAGCCTTTGTCCTTATCGCCATCACCACACGTTCCCAATTATTCTTTGTACCTACGCCACACCTTTCACGTCTCGCTTTGCCTTTCTTCTCGCTACTCGCGCTTTGATAGCGCTTTGTCCATTCTCCCGCCGTATAAAAAGTTACATGTAATTCTCGTTTAATTAGTGAATCAACTCCCTCTCAGTGATCCGTATTCTCGCAGCCGTCCGAACATTCCGTCAAAGTCAAAAACATCTCTGTCTGCATCATCGTTTGATCTCTAGTCAACTCGCTACCATCCTCCATCACAATTTCCTACCTTCCTCGATCGATCCTTTCGATTCCCCTTAGAACTCACCTCAGCCTTACAACCCCATCCTTCTTGCACACTGAGCAAAGTTGGTCTGCCGGAGGGGCTTCTCTGACCATGAGTAAGTTTATATAGTCTTTGAACTTGCCCTTCCATTGCCGGAGATATGCATTCTGACCCTGTATGATCCGGTCAGATCCAGACTCTGGAAATGAGGATGACTGCTGCTTGCCAGAGATTTCGGTAATTTGGGCTGGGGGATGTCACCTTGGTCAAAGTCAAAGTCAGGACCTTCATGGAGCATCCGAGATGACCCGGATTTTTGCTTTGAGGGAGATTTCATCGGCGATGATGTTACCGACTTTGCTTTTGGAGACCATGAGTCTTTCACCCAAGATGATCTGGATCCTCTGGCTGTAGTTTTCTCCTTGAGCTTATACAGCTGAGGCAATCGTTTCTTCATGGGAGGAGTGTATGTTATTCCTGTTTGTTTAGTCTTTGCCATATTGATACCACCACCGGAAAGGATTGTTGAACCAGGGAGTGCACTTAGGCTTGATGACTGGGAGGTACTTGACTCCACTGGATCATGCTTCCATCAACTCCGAACCGTCGGCATCAGCTCATTTTCTCTTGTTTAGTCATGGAGCAACCAGATTTGAAGTTATGTGCCTACCGGAGCAAGGGACCGATTTGATAATCCAACCGGATCATTGTTCTGGTGTCATATTACTATAAAGGACATATCCCCTTGCTGTTAGTCATTCAGCAACCTGATGTGAAGTTCTACCGGAGCAAGGGACTGATTTTATAATACAACCGATCATTGTTCTGGTGTCATATTACTATAAAGGATATTTTGCCTTGCTGTTAGTCATTCAGCAACAGTCATGTGCCTACCGGAGCAAAGGACCGATTTGATAATCCAACCGGATCATTGTCATATGATCATAAAGGATAATGAAGTCCCAAAATATCTCTCCATTTAGGATATATATAGGTTGGAGTCACCGGTGACATTTCAAGGTTCAAGATTAAGAGGCTCCAGCAGTAACATATACTTCTTTCTACTCAGTGTCACTGGGTGTTGGTCTCAGAAGTAATTCAGGTATTATAACAGGAGCTCAGGCTGAAGCGGTAGGTATGAGTTAGAGGATGCATGTAGGCAATCACAACAATAATTGATGGATTATGGCATTCAGTGTCACTGCCAGAAAATTATACTTCCCGGTTAGATGATGTATGTGAGACGATATGAACACATTGCATGAACTTCAGTGAGGACACTGGCATCGTAAAACATGCTCCAAGGGAACACTTCAAACCAAATAACCCATTCTATGGAACATGAACAGGCTTCTCATTTGTGCACATATTTTATTATTCATCTCTTTGCTTGTCCTCAGTATCCCCTATCATCTTTGAATGCTCAAGTCAAGTTGCAACATTTTCAGAGGGAGTTCTCTTAGGTAAGAGAAGTTCAGACCCAACGACAAGATCAGATGAGAACCGAGTAGATTCAAGTTAGAGAATCTATCTACTGTACAAGTGGGATATATATACATAAGGGTGAGATACCGGTGGAACGGTAAGGGTACAGGGTAAGCGGGAGCTATACCGAGTCAGTGGTAGGGGTCAAGGGTTGTATGAGTCAGAAGTGTAAATAGGTAAGAAGTACCGGTTGAGCGGTAAGGGCAAAGGGCATGGGGAATCCCCATCAATGAGAGAACCGAAACAATGGAAAGGGCATAGGTGCAGTAGAAGCCGTGGCTTCTATGATCTAGGGGAAGAAGTGAGAGCTTCTCGCGTTTCAGAACAATGAAATCAAAAGAAGAGATGAAAAATAGAATAGTCGTAACCATGGTCAAGGTCTAGACGAGTCCGAAGAATGAAATGACGTGTAACGCTCATGTTACTGTAACAATTGCCTATGGTTTGCACCACACCAAACTGCATGGCTCTGTCACATTTGCTGCTCTTGTCCTCCTCCAGCACTTGAAGCACTGCCGGGGGATGTTCAGGAGACCGGCTGTATGTATCTGCATTCATGCTGGCCTCCAAAGTCATTTGTGATGACACTTACTCGAGCAAGTCATAGGGTATAGCTGAATAGGACCTGTATGCAATGTTTGAGGGTATAACTGTATGCTGCTCATATACTATATGATAAAGGTCCAAGTCTGTGTGTTTTTACATTTCTAAATTATATGGACCGGAAACACATGAGATGTTGAGGGTATCATGCCAATAAATGAGTGTTGACTCGCTGGCAGATAATCTCTTGTTCGGTTTGCTGTCAGGTACATTGCTTAAGTGACCTAATACTGTGCGATACACATACATGCTTTTGTCTACCAACCCTTCAACTACTTTGCAATGCCCCCATCCAACTCATCAGTGGACAGCCCAGAAAAGACTAAGAAGCAAAAATTGATGGAGGAAGAGGTGCTGGTCTTACAATCTCACCTAGAAAAATGGAAGGAAGCAGCCACTGAGGATAGAAAAGTCATTCTGAAGGCGGCCACAAAAGAGGCCAAAGTGCATGCCCCTGCTATGCATGCCCAGTTATTGAAGAAGAGGAAAACAGTGAGCAGTTGATCTTCTAATGTTATACATGACTGCTGACTTTTCTCATGATGGATCAAGATGTACCGGGAGTGGTTCTATAACCAGAGAGCTGAAAAGACTCGCAAAAAGAAGTTGGGTCAGAAATGGAATGCCCGGTCGGTGATAGAACAGCAGCACAAGGAGGAGATCATTGAAAAGACCGGAGCAAGGCCTGGATCGGAGGAATTCATCAAAAGATACCAGCCAACCCTCACTGCAGTCATGGCCAGTCTATCAAAAGAGCAGCTGAAGGAAGCAAAGCAGACTGCGATAGAGTGGTCTAGCGATGGTCCTCCTACAGAGGTCCAGGCCGAGTTTGCAAAGAAGAAAGCACCCGGTATGATGAAGGACCTGGCAACTCAGTTATGGAGGCACGCCGGTATGAGGATATTCATATTGTCCGCATGGAAAACGGAGGAAGGCGAAGTGAGGATCAATGGGTGAGTTCTACTTTCACCCTCAACCGGTAAAGATTGCCTGATCCAGTTGGAAGAATTGACTTCAATGAAAAGTTGGAGGGCAATAGTTTTACAGGTACAAAGGACTGGAAGCCCATGATATCAGAGTGGAATGCCTATGCTGGAGAAGAGTTCAGTGAGCTTCTTTTTCCACAATCTTGCATCATTCAATCAGGCACTTATCACACTTGGGGATGATACCAGGAGTTGACCAGAATGAAGATGACGACGACGACGAGGAGGATGGGAAGAAGAGCAGAAAGCCAAGGGGAAAGAAGGATGATTATCCTTTGGAGGTGGATACCTATGGGCTTCCAGTAATACCGGATGTTCAGAACCTTAACTTAGAGAGCAAGCAACATCTCATCCGGACGTTCCTCACAAAACACTA